AAAGCAAAGGTTGTTTACATGACCTCATACTCATTTTTATATCCTCTCATTGCCGCACGGAACAGTTCAAACTTGTTATCCTTACAATAAAGGATCCTAGTAAACCACGAGTCTTTTTTCGCTAATGTTATCGCCTCTGTTTTCGTTTGCATGTAGGCGACTATGGATAGAATTGGGAAATTGCTTAAAAGCTTTTAACAAGACAATTTTTGTTCTATTTCATTTTTCAGGGCCTTGGTAGGCCTCGACTATAGTAGCGGGCAATTTGTTCTATCAGCGTCATCTAAATCAGTATCTGAAACCTGCATGCTGTTGGAAGCCATCCAAATTTCTTGCTTTGCTTCCGTGCCTCCACTTACGGGTGGTTAACAAGTACCTTACACAGCAGGTGTGATGGGAAACAGGACACAGTCTCTATCATAAAAGTAGGACAGTACGTGTTTAGAGGATATACAGACATTCCCTGGGGTAAAAAAAATATCCTTTTATCATATTTGCTTTTACTTTAGCTTGACGGACATAAAGGTGTGTTTGTTGTGATAATCTTGCCTTAGCTCACACATTCTGAACCAAAAAATTAACAAAGTTATAAATTCATGATAGGATACGGATCAATACCTCTGCTTCTGCCTCATTATCGTTTTTAGCATAAAAAAAAATTTCCCTCACAGAGTAGCAATTAACAAAGAAGTGACAGGGTTTGTTCAGTGTCTCTTCTTCTTCCTTATCAGTACCAAGGTACGGCTAGCCCTCGCCTTTGGAATATCAATGCATAGCAAAGTAGAAAGGTCCTAAAGAATCTGTGTTGCAGCTTCGGTGGGGGGTATAACAAGATGATTTGATTTTACAAATTGCCTTTGCCCTCTTTTTCAAAACGAGGCCTGGTGCTTGGACGAGCATCAGGACTCGTTCTAAAAAAGAAGCCAAAGGTAATTCGGCAATAGGCTATTGGCCACCGTAAAGAGTTTCTTAAGCTGTTTTGTGTGTCAGCCTTTTTTCATTCACCAGCGAATAGTAAAATCCCTGAACGCCATTCCAGTGAATTAATTGGGTATCAAGTGCGATCTGTGATAAAATTTCAATGCACAGTAATCATGAGTGTGTGAGCATTTTCCCTTTCTCTCGTTTTAAACTTCTTTGCATGGAGCTCTCAAGTTCCGATATTAAAAGAAAAAAATGCAAGCGAATTGTGCTTTGGGCTATTTGGTTCTGATTCCGTCCATTCTGCAAACGTTATTAATTTTTTAAGGAGAGGTTTCTCGTCGATATCATATTGCGAATTTTCATCTTCTGAAAACTAAGAAGCATTCTACGCTCTCGCGAAAATTAATGTCAACACTGCGTTTACATCGTGAGCCACCAGCCAATGAACCCTTCATGTTCTCAGGAAAAAGATTTGCCGGCTTCGCAAGGAGTTCGAAGTAATAGTTTTGCGGTTACTTTTTCCCCAAATAGTGTCCGCGAGCACGATTTGTTTGTCAGGTCTGGGTCAAATCAAAGAAAAGAGAACATATTCTTTGCCAATCTTTGAAGGTTCATCTTCAAGCAGGCTTTCGCCATCAGGGTTGCGATGCACCGAAACATATCGTGATTCCTAAGGAATTCACACGAAAAGAAAAGTTCTTTTTTTCCACGGGTGAAGGAAGTTGAGGTTTAATTTAAAATCGTATAGTAATATGCTTATTTCACATCTTATTCTCCAGATTCCAGTGGAGGCTGGACAAGTACTTCTGAAGCGTTCATATTTTCTCAACGAAATAAAGAAGGACTTGCACCATTCAAGAGTCTGGTGACTAGTCCTACATATGCTATCTTCAGGCAGTCAGGTTTTGGTCCAACTTTTGGGAGCGGTTACGACATTTGTATCCAAAATAATGCAAACAGGAACACAAACTCCTACACATACTTTGGCCATTCGTATTCAGTCCCAATTGGGGTAAAGGACAGAAGGACAATCCTGGCTGGGACTTACAACTTCACACCTGATGACGTGGACGTTTTCTATCTCCGTTGAATCATCACTGTCATCATAACTTCATCATGAATGCCAGTAAAAATAATGCCACACGTACACTTAATTCAATTCACCCTTTGGCTTGATTGACTGACAAGCAGACCAATTAAAATTAGTCTCAAGCACCCATGTTTTTTTTTTTTATTTTTTTTTATAGGAAGAGGACGGTCTCGTTTGCCGTTTCCCTAAATATTTCAATATAAAAAAGGTTGAAGGGGCTTAATCTGACTGTAGTTTGTGAGTCTTGACTTATGAGTGATAGGTAAAACTCACAAGGTTTGACAATTTTTCAATTTTTGTTGCCTAATTTAGACGTGAGAAACGAAAATATTCCCAGGAAGTTCCACAGACTATATACTTGGGTGAGATAGAGAGTTCAACACTTTTTCAAGACGTTGCAGATTCTATTCCACACAACTGATACAAAAACAGCGTGCGTAAAACTAGATTCCAATCTCAGATTTAAAGTCACTTGATTCGATTACGTAATCTTATAAAAAAGGTACAAGTCGCCAGCAAACTTCTATTTTTAACTTAAGATAGGTATGACTAAGTTGTCTTTATTCACTCCTAAGGACATTATCGTAGTTTGAGCTGAGTTCCTTGACATAGTCGTGAACGATGATCAATGGAGTTTGACGTAAATGCAGTTAAGATAGAGATGTAATCAAAGATCGAAGACGAGCTGAAGAGTACAAAGGATAACATTGATGTTCTTTAGTCGCATTCAGTTTAATGAATACAATATCGGAAATGATCTTCTAAAGATTCCCTTCTATACGTGCAGCCAGTCCTTAGAATAAAAGTGCTCAGTTGCCGTGGCATTTAGTTATCCTTCTATTTTGTTGTCTCCTTTTTTGTCCTAGCAAAACGCTTCACTGATTTTCAAGTACCATTTTAATCTGAAGTCAAGAGAAATCTCCCTTAAGTGAAAATTAAAGATCTTCCTGGTATTAAAACCGAACTTACAGTTTGGGTTTCAGGACAAAGATAAGACATCGTTCAAGTCATCTTCGGTCACTCTGCTAATTAGCAAAAGCAAAGATCGAATCAAACAAATGCCACATCGGATAATCTTATCCTAAAAAAGAGACTATTCATACGTAGTGTATGAATAAAAATTTTGGCAAATTGTTTCCGATTTCGCTCGAGCCTTGGGAACATTGTTTCATAAAAGACGCAATTCGAGATAACATTGCTTCAATGAACCGAATCAGTCAATAGAGAACAAAATGTAATACTATTGATGGAGAAAACCAATAGAAGCTCAGGTACTAAGACTTGTTTTGATTAAAAAAACGTTCCTCTACATTGCTTTTGTGGAACAAAAATTATCATCCAATCGGCCTCCGCACAATAAACAAAAACTAGAGCCAGAGAAGAGTTTAGATAAATTATCCGAAAGGCTTCTTTGATCATCGATACTTTTTTAAACATTTGCCACACTCTTGAAGCACGTAAATATTGTTCTGTTTACAGTAAGACAAAAATCATCTTCATTGAATCTTGGCAGTTGATATCCAGTCATCTCCATATTACGATTTAGTCACACGAAGAGTTCACAGGAACACGAGGAGGTAGGAATAAAGAAAGAGAGTTCATAACGTTCTGGATTGGTTTGATTTATCTTAATTGACATAATTATCTTTCAGTCGTGTTGTTTACCAAATAGTGCACTTATGACTACTCCTTGCAACTTTTTTTCACCTCATTGGCGAAGGATAGAGAATCAAGTCTGACAACGAATAAGGGATCACAAGGAAAAAAGTCGGAGAAATTATTGACAACTTAAATTAAAATTTTACTTTACCTTGAGCGAGGCTTTAGACTGTTACATGGTTTCTGTACAGTTAATCACATCTCGAGGCATCAACAGAAAAAAACATTTTTTTGTGATACTGTAACATTTATTTCATCGACTTTCGGTGTACAGTAATCATTTAAGAAAACGAAGTGAAATCAAAATGCCGTTAATTTCTACTTCGCCTAGCTGACGATCTAAACATAAGCCATAAAGTAAAATTTATAGGAAGTTTAGTAGTCGCCGTTTACCTTTTTTCTAGATCGTTTTCCTTCAGGATTGATCATAACAATCAAAGAGGACTTTCCTGAGCTTAGAAAATAGAGTTTCTATTAACCCCTTACAAAAGTCTAACACAACAAACAACGATTGGTGATTCCCTTTGCAAAAAACTCATAATTAAAAACAACGAAATATTGTAAATATCTATTAATAAACATGCAGGATGGTTATACACTCCCTTAATTAAGGCATTGGCAAACACTTTAAAAGGCGTTTACAACACGCACATCGGTTAGTTTTAACCCTCTTTTGAGGGCTCTAAAACACTACTGTAAAACCCTCGTAGGCGCTAAAATTACGGACCGCGATAACTACAATTCCACTCTCTCCTTTACTTGATACAAGACAAGTCACATGATTGGGTTTTCCAAGTCATTCCTAACTTGGAGCACATTAAAAGAGAAATCTGGACGAAATATTTCGTCCAAAATCACGATGGTTAACACTTATCTTCGTCGTAAACTGTAAGACAAACTACTGATCACAACAATGGACCAATGAATAGTTTTCCCCCAAAATGTCTATAAATGTGCGCAACCTTGACTTCACCTCTCTATGTTAACTATAACATCAGAAGTTTCACTATCTCGGTTGTTCGCTTCTTTCAATGGATACATTTTGTCTTCATGGCTTCTTTTTTTTTTCTGCTACTGTTTTGTTTTTGTTAAGTTGCGTAATAATAATAATACCTTTTTTATCTTATTAGTTTTGCTACTTCTTTTTTTTTTGGTTCGCTTTTTTTCCTAACTTTTAAAATTTTTTTTTTTGCTTCTTTTAGCTGCTTTTAAATTTTTTTGTTTTCCCATTTTCTGCTTTTCTTTTATACTTTTTATAATGGTTTTCTTGCTTCTTTTTTTGCTATTTCTTGGGGCGATTTTTCAACTTATTCCTTTTTTGTGTGTGTTTTTATTAGTTACGTGTTATTAGAATCTCCGCTTGTTGTCTTATTATGTAGCAAGAACTACAAATTGCTTTTTACACCTGTTGTTGGGACTCAGAGACAGGTTCCCGTTAAGTTCTGGTTTGAACTGCAAGACGACAGACAGATAAAAATTGATCTGATAATCACTTATTTTAATTTTCTTGGCTTTGGTCCTCTCTCTAATTAAAACCACCGCCAAACGAAGAAAAAATAATCGCCACAACAAACAAATTTATCATAATAAAAGACAAAATTATCAAAACAAACGGGATAGTGTAATTAAAAGAAATTCCCTCTTTGCATAAATACATGAAAGGGAAAGCATCCGCATACCAAAACAAAAAAAAAAAAAAAAAGAAAAGCGATTATACCAAAGGCAATAACGTCAAATTTTTGTAAGACCATTGAAAAACTAATTAAAAGTTCATGTCGTATTTCGTGAAAGACCACTAAAAAGGAGAGCATCGCCACGGTCACCAACTTATTCCAGTTCCTGATGAAATCAAATTCTGTGGTATCGACTAAAAAGGCCTACGAAAAAGGCATCATCGGATTCAAACAACCGAATCAGTCAAATAACATTGACGCGAGTAGTCTGGAGCAATAGGCTGGACTTGCTCTACTGGGCACGAGTCAGTACAAGTGCGGACTACCAACTTTTCCTATGCCGTCACGCACGCCTTAAATACAAAGTGCCCGATACCACATGTTGACCCGAGTGGTTCACTTGAATTTTATAACGAATTTGACAAAATTACCAGAAAACACCCTGGGAAGAAAAAGATGCAAGGTGACTCGGATTCTGCTGGAGAAATTTGCCTAAAGATGACGGGAAGGCATGCAAAAATAAACAACCAAGTTTTGTTATGCGTTAGTTTCTTCTCATTACAAGTAACACAACAGTTAGGGCTGGTTATCTAAACAAAGTTTAGCCGCTGTTTAACGAAACCGCGTTCTAAACTATCTTCAATTTAGCCAAACCTTTTACCTAAACAGTTTCAAGAGGGCCGAAAGCTAACAGTGGAAGAACATTAATCAAATCAAAACATCCCACTTAAAGAGAATCCCCAAGGCCCACTACTTGGTTTGGTTTAGACCTCGTGTAAATAACCGGCCCTTAATGTTTTAACTCACAATTACGATGGTTATTGCGAATACTCGGCACCTCTCTCAGTCGATATTACCAATGTATGGCAACTCAGCTACTGGAATATCACATTGCTTCTAGCAATGTACACCTGTACGCGTAGCTCGCATTACATTTGATTAGTATTAGCAAAGTAACTGTAAAAGTATTATGATACGATTAGTATTGTTAAATAAAGTCAACAAAAACAGCAAGAAAAAAAACAAAACAAAAGTGAGGCATTATAGAATTGCACTCTGAAATAGCAGTAATAATATCGGTGGTAGTATTGGTGGAATTCGTGTTTTAATTTTTGTCAGTGTGATTCATGTTACCTTATTCTTGTTTTGGTAGTGTGAAAGTAATGCCGCTATAATTTTCGATAGCATTATCCATGGTGACGAATCGTTTGTATTGTAAGTCTCAAGACTAAAAAAATATACTGAACACGCATGCTGTGTATAAGCAATAATCACACTCCGCTAGTCTGTCAAGTCATCATCAGTGACGCTTAATGAATGGGCAAGCACAACACTGCCTTCTGCTGCACTGCCTCAAAAAGGATATCTACATAAATGCAACTTTATAATTTTGATCATAAACGTAATTATTTCTTACTAATTTTGTAAAGCAAGCCTTCCGTAATCAAATCACTAGTAAACCCTTTTAAGACAAAACACTGGCTGTAAAAAGGCGGATGAAAAAAGTCCCGGTGTAGTCGTCGATTTTCGTGAAGTAGATAAACAAATTAACGAACAAATTGAAGAAAGGTATCACTTTTTTCTCATGAAATACACCTTTCGATGTGCTTAAGGATAGTGTCACTATCCTCTCCATCAAACTTCCTCAAGCAGCGAGGACATTCTTCCAGTCCAACCACCTCATCCTTACTGCTGACACCAGAATCGGATTCGATATCGTTACCATCCGAAGGAGAATCGATGACGTCTTGAACTGTGTCCGGGTAAACTTCTCCTCCATGGTACATGGAGGTTCTGGTTGAATGTTGACCTACTGGATGTGTGACTAATCCACGGGTAGGTGGTATTGCACCCTAAATTTTGCCAAAAGGAAATGATGAGCCATCAAAAGGACATAGAGCAGCACCATAAATATCGGGAAATACTATGTGACGGTGTCAGCTCTGCACAACTAACTATACTGGGTGTGTTAAGGCTCTGGCAATACTAACTTGACTCATCTTCTCATGGCGATCATAGGGATTTCACCTGGTTGGGGATACCCTCTGAAAGTAGTAGTAGGAGAAGACTCCTACTCCAAAAGCATCTTCAGGACTTTATGATACACCAGCAACAGTTCAGTACATCTACCCACATGTTTTAATATTAAGGACTAGGAACGAAAGGGAGGCGAGATCTGTGATGCACCTTTTTTTTCTTCTTGTCTTTGAGCGTTTTTCGATTGAGTGTAATAAAAACCAAATCCAATGTAATCACAGCAGTCAATGAACGCACAGGAGATTCAAAGTAGAAACTAACGAGGTGCTCATAACGCGACTAAGCCAGACATGATTGATTTAGTTGTTGAATCTGATCGGCTGAGGAAGCAGCGCAATCAAAAAATTGCATGTGTTACCCTTCTAATGTTGATACATGCTGCTTCAACAAAGCAGATACAAAATGGGCGTAAAATTGAAATTAAAAATCCTTACCCTCGGAATCATAGGGGGCCGCTTCCATTCTTGATTTGTGTAGTCCAGTCCAGATCTTCCATAAGCAATGTACTGTGATTGGGCAGGAGTGTATGGCTAGTAAGGAAAACAAACAATATAGCACTAAAACAAATGAACAAGAAATCTGGCGATGTTACACCTGCATGTGAAATGATCTAAAGTACACGCACTTCAGTGCTTCCATTCGCTCTGACGAAGGGCTAACGCTCGAAACGTCAGCTTTTTTATTCGTTACGGTGACCAATTTACAATTTCAACTTAGCTGATATAACCAAATTACCTTGCAACCGCTTTGGTCGTCTAAAAGTCGACTAGGAAAAACAAAATTGGCGTCTATATTTGTGACGCTAAGTCGCAGTGTTCGGCGATCAAGTAGCAGGTTGAAACGTTTTTACAAATTATTTTTGGGGCGTCAAGTCAACTTAATGTCATAAACACTTTCACAAAATATTTAGCATTTGTGCTGTTGTTCTCTTCAATAAAACTTTGCCTCTTTTTCCTGAGTTGCCAGAGGTTGAAGATATCCTGTCTATCTTAAAAAAAAAAAAAAAAAAAAATGCCAGCCATACTGCTTAATACAAACATGAGCGGCATAGTTAGCGCGTTCGTACAGTGTGCGTCAGAAAGCACAATTTTTTTTTCTGGAAACCAAAGTCTTATCTCTGGCGACCATTTGACGACTGATTCAGGTCGCCAAATGGCGCCTTTAACAAACTAGAGTTTGGACGCTGTACCTGTCCATAGACATGTTGCTGTAAATCGTGTTGTCCTCTCATCAGTCTGTCCCTCTCTCGGTCGTGTACCTCTTTGATGGCCTGGACCCTGGCCTTTTGTTCAGCCACAGCCCTAGCCTTCTGGGCCAACGGATCATTGTATGGGTAACCAACCTGTGAAGAACAGCAAAGTGTATCTGTAAGCTCCTCTGGAACCTTGGGAAATAAGTCCCAGCGACATGTGAAAGCACACGCATTTCCCAAAAGTGCAGGTGCAGTTATATGTTTAACTGTAGAGACAGCCATTTGGTTTATATAAGTCAAAAAAGAAAAAGGCAAACTCACCGCAGTTTGTTTGGCTCTTAATTGTTGCTGAAGGCTCTCCTTCTCTCTTTTCTCTCGTTTGAAGTCTTCTTCGTATACCTGAAGCTAAATCAAGCCACAAAAAGATTTTTTTTATAAGTGATAAGACTACATAATTTGTTTCCTTGGTTTCCATTAACACCGAGCTGATAAGATTTAGAATAGTATAATCATTAAAGAAAGACATTATATGATTAAATTACCATCTTAACCATTTTACTGAAGGGATCCCCACCAGAATTATAAAGAGGATGTTAAAGCTTATATTGTATTAAAAAGTACCAGATATAGGTTCTTTTCGATAATTAGATGTTTCCCCCGCATTAATTGTTTCAAAACGAAAAAATTAGTGATCAGTATTCTGCGGGAAGAACGACAGTTAGCCACCGATAATACAATTAACCCTGCCCTAAGTACATGCCCCAAGCAATCACATTTTATGAGGAAACCAAGGTCAATATCATGATATTTACGATCAATAACAGTAAGCAATGCGGCGTATATTAAAGCATATAATTCTGGAAAAGTTAGACCAAATGTGACATTCCACGTACATCCAAAAAACGTACATCACTATAGTACAATACAGTACTGTCAGTAAATGTAAAGTAGCACAAAGTCCCTCAGTTCTCCCATTAATAGTAATGAAATTATGGAGAACTTAAGATGTGACATTCACCACCATGAAACATGCTGGCCACCTGTGCTTCTGAAATTGCAATGTACACTATACACTCTATCCACTGTTCCGCTTACGGAACCTACCCTACCGCTGAAAGGGTGATCAGCAGCGTGAAGGGCTGGTCCTAGTGGACAAGCTGAGCTACTGACAGCTGTGGATCAGGTGGCACAGACTGAGGAAACAAGTCAACATGATCGTGATGTCCCTGTCTTTGAATCCTGGTTATTTGGGACCTTAAGCAATCACGACAAAGACGGCAATAACCACAAGACAAAAAAAAATATAGTTTGATGACCAGAATGATTATTTTGCGTGTTAGTTTTCAAGTAGCGTTGTTTTAGTGACAAAATAAAATTGTCAAAATGTAATTTTTTCCAATTTTGAGAACGGAAATTTTGAAGGCCAAGTCTCCACATGATTTCTGTTTGGAACATAACTCTGCGCAAACAAGCTATGTTGAAGATAAAGTCTCACTCCTTCAAAACGTAAAGTCACGTACATAGCACTGTGTTGCATGTAATTCATTCTGCACTGTCCATGGTGTTGCCATTCTGACCGCTTAAGGTCCCTAAGCGTGTGAGATTTACAGATAACTTTATGCCACTAACTGTGAATTTCGTGCAACCTCAATACTGTTTTGCCATTTGAAAAAATAAGGGATAAACATTCACATGTACTGCTTGCACCATACACTCAGACCTACTCAACCAATTAAATAACATTCCCTTAAACAGATTGTGTTCATGACAGAATTAAAAGAAGGCAGAACTTATAAAAACAAAGAACACAGTCAAACAATTATTATTGAAGTTATTACAAACACGTTTACAAGCCAAAAAGCCTGAAGTAACAAAGAATCTCACGAACACATTCTGGTAAAAGGTGGAAAAATGTACTAAGATTGCACTAACAGTCATTGCAAAAGCACCCCTAGTCTTTATGCTCTTATCACCATATTTTTGTTTTTAAACTGTACCTGCTGCTCGAGAGCATGTACTTGCTCTTTCATGGCATCCAATTCTTCTTTGAGCTTCTCTTTTTCTGTCTGATTCCTCTCACGGTCTTCTCTTTCAGTAGCAAAATCATCAGCATAAACTCTGAGTTGTTGTTTCAGCACTTCAATTTGATCAACAACCTCTGCAGGGATTTGATGTCCAAAGGCAGCAGTACCAGGCCAGGAAGGTAAACCTTCAGATGGTGGGCCTGAACGTGCTGCAGCTGCACCCAGCTGGGAGAGATGGGACAGTGGCTGCTCCAAGGATGAGAGGTGAGGTGTTTGTGCCTGTGTACATACAAAGATACACGCAAATGAGAGTTTGCAGTTAATTTTGTCCAAAAGTTTTCTTCTCAGCCAGTGCATCTACACAACATTAATTTTTTTAATGGAGTAAGCAGTTATAGTTAGGTTTAACAACTTATGGTCACTGGTGTCTTTGGAACATTTTCACAAGAGGTGAGTGATTTACTAATAAGAGGCCATGATATTTCTTTGTGCATGTCAATTTTACAATCTTGAAACCTTGATGAGTGAAAACTACTTGGACGTGTAAATATTAATTATAACCAAAGAGACTTAGAACAATAATATGAACATGTTTTATAAGCTTTAAATACTATTATTCCTGCCAATGCAAGCAGTTATTAAGTACACATGGAGTGAGGGCAAGGTTGAGTTACTCCAAAGTTTATTCAATTGACTTTGTAAAAATTAATAAAAAAAGAATTATGCCCAGTGGCTTGAAGCGGGATATGTTAACGTACCAGTCGTGTGGGCTGGTTTCTCATCAACAGCTGCAAGCGATTTATTTCAAGTTGCTTCTGTTGTGACTCACTTTCCAAGTATTTGATACGGTCATCCAATGCCTATATAAAATATACAATTTAAATTAATATTGCCACTTTGACTGCATAAGAAACATCTCGTCCCAAACACAAAGCACAGAAACTGAAGGAAACTCATCCAGTGTTTGGTTCTGGGAGGTATATACAAGTAAAGTTACCTATTATGAACATGTTGTTTTGCTTCAGAATGACTTCTTGTGACGTAGAAGGTCAAATATACAGTATTTTACCCTCTCCCGAGGTGAGAAACTTGTCTTGACGAGGGACAAAACATTATTGTTCATCTCTTTCAAGCAATAAGGTGCTATACATGTACTTTTGCATGGCACGATACAAGTTATGTACAATGTGTATTGAACATACACTGAGCTCAAAATATCAGGAATCAATGGATTCCACAATACATTTACTTGTTATTCAACTTGAAGCAGTACATTAGGTACCTAAATGTCATCCAGTCAATACACACAATTCTTCCATTAACCTGCTTAATGTCAGATATCTGCTGTCTACACATTTTGATAGTAAAAGAAACAACACTGGAATCAGCAACTAACTCCAACAAAACATTTCTGACCACAGACAGTCACTTTATCTTGCTCACTTTTCTCTCCATAGGTTCAACCTCTGTTAATTGCCCATATCCTTTGCTTGATTTCATCATCTCAATCTGGTTCTTCAGCTCCTTGATGTCTTTAGTGGAAGCTGCAACAAGCAGTTTGTATTGTTCATCCCACTTGTAATTCACATCCAGAACCTAAGATGATATAAATCATTTCTAATAATCATCTCTTTCCTATAAATAAATTATGTACCAGTCACCAAATAGTTAAAATTGAGCATTGACATTGTTAAATATTGTTAAGGAAGGTGTAATGATTTGAGTTATTAAAGGCCCAAGAAATTTGGAATTATAGTTATATGTATTGTGACACAAGGATGTTTGGCAGTATTAATTTAACTTTGTCTTCATCGAACAAACATATTTAAATGACCGCAGGGATTGACAATCTGGTACAATCACAAAGAGTCAAAAGCTCAGTTAATATTCCTCCAGATATATCCATTGTTAAAAGTTCCAGTTGAAAAATACCTCTTCTTTAAGTTTGAGTGCTTCATCCTTCTCAGCTTTTGCCAACAATACTTGCTTCTGTAGCTCATTCACTTGTCGCTGTAACTGGCCACAACTCTCACATGTCTCCACCCCAGTCTGCATCATTGGTGTCTTTGCAATGATTTCCTGTTGCTGCAGTGAAGATATATATACATATAATAATATATTTAGCACAATAATATATTTAGCACAATAAGCTCCCTGTAAAAAAATTAACTCTTTGTATTCAGGAAGAGCTCTATTATCTAATGCAACAGAGTTCCACCAATTTAAAAAAAATAATAAAAACAAACAGTACAACTGTAAAAGGACTTCTAATGTAAGGTTTACTACTTTGCCAGAAGATTGGTTCTTGGCTGCAAGAAGTACCTTCAACCACATTTCTATAGTCATTAAAAAAGGCTCCCTATCACTAAGTAAACTACTTTGAATTAATTCTGTTATGGTTCAAATAAAGTCCAAACGAATCCAAGACTATCTTCACAAGAGCCTAACCGGCTGATGGTTACAACTTGTGTAGGTCATTATTTCTTGCTGCATGCATGTAAACTAGTATGTAAATCATATACAACACCTCATCTGATAGAGATTTTCCTTCGCTTTTCCTTGAGCCACCTGACAGAGGTCCACTGCTTGCTTTAATTTCCAATTGCTCCCTTTCCACAAAGACAGCTTCTTCACAGAACTTTACTTCATCCAGTAGCTGTTCCATTTCTTCCTTGCTTTTTCCCAATTTATCTCTCAGTTGATGTACCACATTCTCATGTGAGGCCTAAAAAGTTTGATGATGGCACACATGACACATTGTTATATTATTATTTCTAATCAGTAGATTTACATTTCATTTTGCAACAATCTTATTTTGAAGAAAACAAACATGAATTAATGTGTTAAGTACTGCATATAAATTGAGATATTTGTCACTTTTCTGCTCTCAATTCCATTTTCATATTTTAAAGTATGTACCCATATGCATGGACAGTACATAATATATCTAATGCATAAAGCCAGTGGGGCCCTCAATCACTAATTAGAGGCATGAACCAAAATTTAATTGTCTGATGGTCTGAGTGACTAACTGACTGGCCAACCAGCTGACTGGCTAACCAGGTAACTGGCTGACTGGCTGACTGTCTGACTGACTGGTGGAATTCCTAATCAACTGATAAGCTCACTGACTGGCTGATCAATTCACAGATTCTCGTTGTATGATTTTTTACTTGGCCATCAGATAAGTGATGATGCTGGGACAAAACAAACCTGCTCAGCCTCCATTTCAACAAGCTTTGTTCTTAACTTTTCCTCCTCTGAAGCTAAAGCACTTGATAGGGTCTCCCTTGTGCGGGCCTCTTTACTGTATTCATTAAGCTTAGAAAACAGCCTTGTGAGCTTCCCTTGTAACTCTGAATCTCTGTCATCTCCAGGTAGCTGTTGAACACTTTCCCGCAGCTTCTGTGCTTCTCTTTGTAGCTGATCAAGTTCAGTCATGATGTGTTGATATTCTGCTTGTATCTCCTTTGAAACAACAATTTCATGCACAATTGTCAAACACATGGTTTTAATTAATAGCTAAGCCACCAGGAGACCCAGGAATGAGCACGTCTGAAGAATAAGTTGGATCCATGCGAGTTTGTGTTCCGCTCTGGTACATTTGTATAGCTCAGACAGTTGAAATGACACAGCCCATCAGCAATGATATTAAACACTTTGTGAACTCCTTCCATTCAAGCTGCATAGCAGTAATTGTGCGATATCAAGTTTTGAATTGTAGAACAATGTATGTCCTACAGCACAGGCCCCGAATATGAATTTCAAAATGATTCAAAATAAGAGGAGATGTACTTCTTGTTGTACAGTTATGTTCTTCAACAAAAGAAATGTTCAACTGAAATGAAAGTCAGATCAACCTATTGGTGGCTTAAATGTGGAAACTGATTGCTGGTTGTAACTTCAAGTAATATTCTATACAAGCAGTAAAAATGATGAGGACAAAGTCAGTGCATGGCGTGCAAACTTATACCCTGCGAGGACAGGCCCTTTGATCTTCCTAGATTACTTGGGTCTGCTCGCAGGGTAGCAAACTTATAATTACATGTTCTTCTGACCTACAATTCCATTGAAGAGGATAATCCTTCCCTGCTTTACTGTACTATTGTCTTTGTCTTTTTGTCCATTCCTTTCATTTTTTTATGTTTTTTTTGTTGTTGTTGTCAATGTTGTTTTTGATGTTTTTTTTGTTTTTTTGCTTTATTCTGTTTGTTTTTACTTGTGGTTACCATTATGCATTTTCATCTTTTTGTTCATTCTTTTTATTTTGTTTTGTTTTTTTATCTTTTTCTGCTATATTGTGTACCACAAATCCAAGGATACATATAGTTTAAAAAAAAAATACAATAACTAATAACTATAAAAAGGAAATTATGAGTACAACCTACAAATACTGTATGACGTGTTCCATCTAAACGACTGAATGAAGGGCAACCCATAAGCATTTATTGCAAAGCAGATTTAAAGGTTACCATTTCCTTTTGATATCGATGGGTGAAAGAACCAGCCTTTAGCACCAAGAATCTCTTTAAAAATATATCGGCACGATTATAAAAGTGATTGATCTTTCTGGATCAGGGAGTTATTGAATACCTTAATGTGAAATTCTCCAGGTAACAAAGAGGGATATCCTGCCGAGAAGGACTGAGGACCAGAGATTGTTGTGACATTGACAATACCTCCAGCTCTGCTGCTTTGACTAGGTATAGATGAGTGATATGTTTCATCTTGTTCATGGACTGTGCTTTGACCATCATCATTTACAGAAGTACAAACTGAAAGATCTGCCAAGAGAGTTGATGTAACACCATTCTGCATCAATTGCGCTTTCCATTGTTCAATTTCCTGTTTAAGTTTAGCATTACTTTCCTGTGAATCTTGAAGAACTTTACCTTGGAAATAAATAGCATAGAAGGATTAAATGTTTCATTTGTAATTAAACAACCTACAGACATAATTTATAACTGCTTACTGCCACTAAAAAGAGAGACAAAATAAACCTACCAACAAAGATAACGGATAAAATGTAATGAAATCCCTTCTGTTGCTTATCACAAATCTATCATTCCCACAGTTGTACTTCAAGTGCTTAAAACAATAGTGCTCAATGCTTAAGCTATCTTACATTCAATTGTTTAAAGTTCTTGAATTTGTTTTTCTTTTCTAGATGCTACCTGATGAACTTTTCCTTCAGTAACATTGCCAAAAAGCAACTTCTGAAATTATATTGTTAACTAACAAGTCTGTGAATTAAACCACAAATATAGTATACACAACACAAATATACTATGCTTAGTTTCATAACACTTTTTATTCTAGAAACTGAAGCCTATTGTTTGTTTTGTGTGTGTTTTTAGGATGTGTCTGGGCACAAAACACTGCAGGATTTTCATTTCAGGGTTATTCTTTTGTGACATAAAACAAATATTATTGGGTGAAATCTTCTTAAATCAGTTGCGAATAATGAGATTATTGCTGCTACACAAAAGTGAGGCCATATCATTCTGTAACCGTGCTCTATATGATCATAACATCTTTTGCCATGTTTTCTCTAGAGCAGACTTTCTGTGAAAATCATATATTTATCACTTACAAACAAGAAATATTCTCATCCTTGCCACTGAACACACAGAGCACAAAAATGTTTTTGAAAAGCTTTGGTACAAGCCCTATATATAGAAGCCTTCTGCTTGTTTACCACCTTTGTACAACTATTTTAGCTCCAGTGATGGCAGAGGCATTAATGACCAAACTCAGTTGGACGCATTAAATAATTCAAATTACTTTAACTTCCTTACCTAAAACTTGCACTCCTTGGGCTCGAACCTGTAGGGCCTTGTTGTCCAATTGCAGTCTTGTAATTTCTGTCTGCAACCTCAAGACTTCATCAGATCTGTTTTGTGTCTCAGTGGATTGTTCCCATTTGTTCATGGTAAAAAAGCCGCGTATTTGAATGTACTTTTTGTCTCAATTATTGTAAGTTAGATGGCATTGATGATTCGCTCAGACCTAGAATATGATCAAGGAGATCTCAATAAAAATGAAACAGCTGAAAAGAATGAGCAGAGCTGATTCATGTGAAATTTTCAATTTGTTTATAGTCTGCAGATGTATTTACAGTGTATCTTGATAATATATTATTTTGACTGTTTATACCCTTGAGTAGACTCTATTCTATAGCGTCTCTTTAGGTTTTTCCTCAGCAATCATGAGCTATTTTGAGTAGTTTACCTTAGCACTTCCACATGCAAGTTCTATTCTTAAGTTTAACTACTCGTTTCAAACCCATACGCAATAATTAAAACTCAGGACAGTACAAGAAAACAAAACCAGTTCAGGACGTTGCATAACATGTAATTATCGGGTCTGGACTTGAAAACCCAGTTGCGAGTAAGTAAAAATATGTCGTATTCTCCACCTAGAAGTTTATCAACAAGATAAAAAAAAAAGCTACATTGTCTTGTATCTGCATGGGAAACAAATCGAAAGTGAAGATACAGAATATGCTTTGCGAATGAGAATTTTAAATAAAGACATTTAATTTAGTTCATCTGGAACGCTTCCCTAGATCCTTCGCTCTAACCCCCCCAAACAAATGAGTCGAAGCTATGTTAAAACGAGCAGAAAAACGCTTTCCTAGTAAGGAACCGGAAAGAGAGCAAAGGGAAACTTTTTTAGTCAACAAACGGGAAAATATCTGCCAGTTTCGTCGAAACTGGAACTCGGAACTTCTGACAAATGACGGGAAAAACCCCAAGAACAGGCATCCATCACAATCTACAAACGGAAATTCTTTGACGATTATTTCAAGGGTCAAATATAAGTTTCTTAGATTCCAGCACGCAATAACATACTTGCTACCAAAAATATAAGAAAACTTATTGATTTGATAGGAATTTTTGCTTCCTTAATACAACAGACCTGTAACAACGCATCTCTCAGCAAATAGTGAAGGCGGTAGGGCTCCGATGATAAGCTCTCGTCGTCCGTCAAGCTTTGTAACTAACTCGAATTTTCCAAAAATTGTAGTCGATGTGTAGCCCAGATTTAACAAATTTTTCATTTAGCTCAGTTTTTAGGTCAAAATACGACCAAAATAAGGGCTTTACGTCTCCGTAAAGCTTTAAAACCCTGCGGAAAGAAACGACGCCGATTTACAAACTCTTCAAAATGGCGGACTGATGTACAAAGGAAGGCTCAACGCGCTGACAGGGGATTCCCCCAAATTGCCAGGCAGCCTATGATTGGCCATACTTTTAGTAACCTATTTTTGATTGGTGTATCCCAAGAAAAATGAGGTCAGGACAGAATGACCTCAGGAAACGCTTAAAAAGCTGAGGTCTTGCGCTTATCTAAGATCCTAATAACCTCTCGAGCAACGAGGCACTGACAGTGGCCATCGTCGGAGTTTCGAACTAAAAATCTGAAACGCGAGATTTATACATCCACAAGAGCTCATACCAGAATATACCAGCGATACAAACGAGAGTTCAGTTTTAAAAGTTAAAATTTGAAAAAATGAACCGCTGGGGGAGCCATATTATCTTACAAAGTAAGGCAAATGAATTAAGATTTAAGTTCGTATTCATGGCGTGACCATTATGTGATCACCTCGGATTTTGCCTCTTTCTTGCAGTAGTATTGCACTTGATGTTCCAACAGCCTTTGAAATCACTGAAGATTTATTCTGAATAGCTAATTTAACTGGCGGTTTTTTGTGTGTCTTGTAGCGTTGAACTGCAGCGCCGCGACTGGCTTACAACTCAACATCTAATATTTATTACAATTTAATGGCAAACAGATTTACATAAATAATGAGAGCCATAAGAATGGCCTACAAAAGAGTCGAGGGACCCCATACAAGGCAGGCCACAACTCTGCTGTACAACTTGTTATGACAGCTCTGCAACCTTCTATCGAATGCACGAAAAAACCCCTAGTGACACAGGCTGTAATTTAAATTTAGAGAAAGATTAATGGGAATTATAATATTCAAAACAAGTTACGCGTCATCTCGCGAAATGGGTTAATTAATTCCATGTTGCCGACATCATTTATAGCATGCGGTGGAGTGCTAGACGACTAAATTAATCGTAAGCGCGGGAAACTTTCGGCATTGCAAAAGTCTCACTGAATATTCACTTTCGAGATAAACGACCACTAAACAGGAAAAAAAATGAGATAACGGTTAAATTGTAAGGGGCATGCAACGGAATAATTTGACCACTATTTTCAGAAGTATCGAAACAAAGCAACTCATTTCACGATCATCAAACGAGAGCAGTTGCTGCTGCTCGTGAGAATTATCTCTGGAAGACCTCTTAATTTACAAGAATAGCATACTGTTGGTCAATTAGCATTTAACATTCTTCAGGTAGATCATGAATGAGCAGCAGGGTCGAAAACCTCGTGGAATCGATTCCAATAAGCAAGGATCATCTGCATGTGGCTCACAGATAGAATTGCATTTGACTTGATGATTAGTGGCGTAACGTCTTCATGGGAGCAGAGCCTGACGACCAAAATAACTAACCTGGCTTCCCTTGTTCAGTTCCTTAGGAATTAGTTAGCTGCAGCAGGTGATTGAGAACAAAAGGTGTCGAAAAGCATTTGCGAATACAGCGCTAAATTACTGTTTCGCAACAGGTGTGAGAGGTTTCTTTGAAAACCACTAGACAGTAAATCCAGTCCATACTGAGCCCATTCTTATCTCGGTCAGCAGCTACCATGTTCAACGATCAACTTATCTTACACTGATTTATCACTTTTTAGACTGCGTGTTAAGAACTCTCAGTCCCCCCTGGCCCCCCCCTCCCGTCTTCCTTCCCCTGTTTTCTCTTTCCATGTGCTGCCCACATCATCACTTCCAGAACATTTAGCTAACTGAAGGAGAATGCATTACCAAGACGCGAAACGCGACTGATCTTACTGCGGAAAAAGTAACGAGAGAGCGTGTATCCTGAAATGAGCGATAATCGAACGACTTATTCACGTCATTTATATCCTTGAACCGATGTGTTTTCCAACGTTTGATTAAGTGACTTTGTCATTTAACTCATTGGTACTCGGCAATGAATTGGAACAGTAGTTACGCTGATTCAAACTGCTTCAACGCGTACTTAGAAGCTGATGGCTCGATTTTTTCGGTAAGGCCTTCTCAGAAATTAAGTCAGACTAAGTTATTAAATTTTGGTTTCGCTTTTGTCTTTGTTTTTGTGTATCTTATAGTTTGGTGTGTCATCTGTTTGCTTTGCTGTTTCTGTGGTTTACATGAATTGAATCGTACTCACAGAGTCCCTTTGCAGCTCAGATCGATGTTTCTCGTCATTTGCAGCGCGACCCTGTGCTATTACGCTCAACAATATCAGGGTTAATCATGAGTTTCATCTGAAAAATTTATCTCGATTATCATATGATTCCACAAAAACTATACCGTTAATCGTTTTCCCGTGCCGTCCATATGAGGACGGAAAATGCGCTGCAAATCACGTGCGATCTTCATTTTTAATGGCCGAAACACAAAACCGTATTTGATTCATTGTTTTCGAGTAGAGCTTATACACGGAAATGGTCATCTGGAGAATTAGAAACTTCCTAGAAAATGCGGAAGTAGTATACAATTCAATCTTAACTTCTCTTTGCACTGCTTGGTTAACGTTACTCTGTGTGTTATTACTGCTTTCAGATGAGAAACAAAACGATCAATTAAGTCCATCTTGAACTCTCAATCTAGCAATATGTTCTCCTGCTCTCGTCAACTTTTAAGATAGGACTGATTTGAATTAATCCATGTATTCAATCGTATGTGTTATAAGGGTTACTTATAGTTTCACGCTGTTTGAATCTTATACATCATTAGTGTATACCACATAAGTAAATAACGCTTTTCGCGTGTTCATTGGTTAACTTGGAAGTGACTAGCAAGAGCTATTCACCTCCACTTTGAATAATGATTGTTAACTATTGAAGGCGAAAAAAATTTCTGCAAGGTGTTATCTATGTATTTTCCCCTGAAAACAACATTATTGTTTGAGCTTCAGCAACTGACATTGTAAAAACTCATCGAGGAAAGAGATTACGATATTTTAACTTCTGTGAATTACACGAGTTTGCTGACGCACCACATTGTGACAACTTCAAGGAAATAACAAAACAATACATATATTGGGCACAAGGAAGTAATTAACTGGAAAACAGTCTGAGTATTGAGTGCTTTAATAGTTGATACATTATAACTGAAACGATTGTACTCACAATTCAGAGAAGTTTCTGCCAGACTCCACCGTAGACGAGAGAAAACTTCAGTGAGAAACAATGTGTCTCTGCAAATAATCCGCGGAAAATTAAGAATAGATGAGATCGTGTATTAAGTGTTTTGCAGCGGTGATCTGCTAACCTAGCATGCGCTACTTTCGTAAGACTAAGAGCCAACCAGTCAAAATGTGAGTGACTTGATTAAGGACTATATAAAGTATAGTTAACGATCCTTATTGACCAATGAGGTATTTTGACGTGGAAGAGATTAAAATGTGCTGATAAGGTAATATCACCGGTTGATTTCAAACTCCGGTATGACTGCACTAAAATTACTGACCGAAGCTAATTACATGTAACTATGATGATACGCTCAAATAGTTTATTATACTGTTTCTTTATCCTACTATTAAAGTTTTTATGTTTTTACACATCGCGCGAGCAGTCATTATTCGCCTCCTCTCATTGGCGGTCTGTATTAATACTGACGAGCTAACTGAATCCAAAAATGTGGTGTGTTACTTAAAAAAGTGCGAGGGAAAGTTGTTTATTTCAAGATCACATTAAAAGCAAATGAATTCTTATTTTGTTCAGATTTCTCTCTATGACCCCCCGTGTTACTAATCGTTAAAACCTTCTGAAAGCTCATTTGAAAATTACCTAAAGAGTTAAGTTCTTATGTAACAAGAAATTATGAGATTAATCCATCTGTGACATTGCAACAATACAGCAATATCAATGGTATGGCCTATACGAGATCCACTCTTTATACTCGTTTTTGCACCAGATAACTAAACTGACCAAGATTCGACCAATCAGATATTTATTTACTTTCCATGAATACATCGACCGACACTATCCAGCACCAATAACACACTTCACAGTTTGCAACTCGGAATTCTAGGAATAAATTCTTTTGATGTTTTATAGAAATAAGATGCAAATTGAGAAAAACGAGCGGTGATAAGCCAACCGAGATAAATGGATAATTCATAAAACTTTCTATTTAAGGCCACAGAGGCGGATATTGATATTTGCAATATTTGCAGTAGCCTACAACCGTCAATGCCAGGCTGAGGATCGAAATTTCAAAGTGATTGATATCATATATGACTGCACACTGCTCTAGGGTCGCATTTCCTTCATCTAAATGTGATCTTGCTTTCACTATGGGGTTATAGGAGCGGGAAGGAAGGGCCAGTTACAAAAGATTGTCAGTAATAGAGTGACAACTGCTCTATATCGAGGTTCACTCTCCCTTCTAAAGATGCTTGCTGTTAGATGGTTTTGTATGGAGGAACTCGACTGAGCTTTAAAACTGGGAATAAGCTCGTTAATGTGCATACAGTTTGTGTTTGCATCGCTTGATAGGTAACACTAGTCAAAGCTAGATCGTCGAGGACAACTTAAGAAATTGAAGACTACAAAGGAACTTTACAAGTCGCAATGAATAATAAACGGTGCGACTGATACGATGGAAAAACAAGAAATCTTGGTAATCTGTAACAATCAGTGTAAGCCGCAGAACCAAATATTGAACTTATTATAATGGACGGAAGTAAAAGCATTTTTACTTGTTACTGTAACTCACCCTTCAGCTAACCGAGCTGAAATTGAAAATAACTCGTAAAACAGCTTCCTCTTAAATGCAAAAAGCTATGTGAAACGAGTGCAATTTTTGCAACATGAGCCAATATTCATTAAGTAAGATGAAATTGAATAGTCTAAGTTGTGGAGCGCTTTGAAGCTAGTACGGCAACGTAAGGGCCGTTTTAAACAAAGGTTAATATAACTAGCGTAAATCCAGCCTATTGATTTGCTTTACACGATTCGCCGCTTGCAGTTAGTTATAGTTACCTATATTCAAATAATTCAAGCGGCCAGATTTACGCAAAACTGTTGAAATAATCAGTGGAGGTGAACAAGTTG